GCAAGGGGAAAAGGGAATCCCCTTTCCCTAGCCAGGGGAACCGAGACGACCAAACACCTGGAAAATCGGGTAACATCCCACCCCAATATATGCGTTCAGGAAACGCGGGCACACCCAGGAGATTATATCCCACACCTGGCCAGGGAGTGGTTCCCACGCCACAGCCTCCCTCATTGCTAGCACTATCCAGTCTGTGATCTACCGGCAAGGCAAAAGCAGAGCCAGGCTGTGGGAAGGGGCCGCCCGCCATTGCTGAGGCTAAGTAGGAAACCAAAGCTGCTGGGAAGCTCGAAACCTGGGTGGAGCTCACAGCAAGCTCAAGGAAACGTGCCTGTCTCTGTAGACGTCCACCTCTGGGCGACAGGGCACAGTAAACAATAACAAACGTCAGCAGAACCTCTGCAGACGCAAACGACTCTGTCTGACAGCTTTGAAGAGAGCAGTGGATCTCCCAACACAGAGGTTAGAGATCTGAGAAGGACAGACTGCCGTGCTCAAGTGGGTCCCCTGACCCCTGATGGTATCTCCCTAGACTGGGAGACATCTTCCCCTAGGGGCAGTCTGCACACCCAACCTCACAGGGGTGGAGTACCCCCCTGAGAGGAATGTTTCCAAAGCAAGAATCAGACAGGTACACTCGTGTTCAGCAATATTACTATCTCTGCAGCCCTGCTGCTGACACCAGGAAACAGGCGTCCTGGGAGTGGCCTCAAGCATCTCCAGAACAGTCCTACAGCCTGAGGTCAAAAGTGGAAGAATTGATGGCTAGAGTAATTAATGCAGAGAAGGTCATAAACGAAATGAAAGAGATGAAAACCATGACATGAGAAATACGTGACAGATGCACAAGCTTCAGTAACCGACTCGAAGACCAGCCTGGGCAACATAACAAGACCCTGTTTCTACAGAAAAATTTTTAAAAATAGCTCATCATGGTGGCGCACACTTGTAATCTTAGCCACTGAGAAGGGTGGGGCAGAAGGATCACTTAAGCCCAGGAGTTTGAGTCTGTCCTGAGCTATGATTGTACCACCCTACTGCAGCCTGGGTGACACAGAGCAAGACTCTGTCTCAAAACAAACAAACAAAATCCAACAACTATCTCTGTAAAATAACTAAGTTTGACATTAAAACACGAAATAGAGAACTTTAAATTTTAAGCTAGAAAAAAAAGCACAGGAATATTTGAATACCTTACATATATACATACACACACACACACACACACACACACACACACATATATATATATAAAATTATATATACACAATTTTTTTTGAGACAGGGCCTTGCTCTGTCACCCAGGCTGGAGTGCAGTGGCATGATCATGGTTCAAGGCAGCCTTGACATCCCAGGCTCAGGTGATCCTCCCACCTTAGCCTCTTGGATAGCTGGGACTACAGGTGTGTGCCACTATGCCGGGCTAAGTTTTGTATTTTTTGTAGAGATGAGGGTTTCCCCATGTTGGTCAGGCTGGTTTCAAACTCCTGGGCTCAAGTGATCCACTCACCTTGGCCTCCCAAAGCGCTGAGATTAAAGGCGTGAGCAACTGTGCCTGGCCATTATTATATTTTCGTTACTATTTAACCAACTTTGGACATCTTGAATAGAATACTTCTTCCAATTTTCCGTGAAATATTTATATTGATGTTAAAGCCTTCCTGAGAATGCATGTAACTTTCATAATTTAATACTTGAGACTTCACGGACACCAGCCACAGACCTGACAAACTGTTATTTTCCTTCTTGGCTGGTGGGCTTGCTGCATCATAGCCACAGTCTATACTCCTGTTGGCAGCAGTGCACACTGAAACCTTGAGCTTGCTGCCTGAAGCTGGAGCACACTTCTTTCCTCTGGGGGCTTTGGTTCCCCTCCTACTCACTCACAGGGCTAAACTTGAGTGTCATATGCTGTCTAGCTCAGCAGGCTATGAGTCTACTGTGCTTTTCTTAGGTTTCTCCAGTTTCTACAAGTCACTTCTGAGTGGGCAGAGGGTGTAGAACCATTTTAGATCTCACATCTCTATTGTGCATTCCGGTTTTCACGCTCCTTCACTCACACTCTCTGTCTGGTTTCCATCAATCACTCAGCCTGACCTTTGGGAAGGGAGCTCTAGGAAGGGAGGTTACTCCTTGCTTGTAACCTCCCAGTGGCTGGTGTGACATGCTGACCCCAAGCACCTAAAGATCTATCTCAAGTATGGTGGAGGGCCTTGGGTTGAAACCATAGAACACTGTTTTTAGAAACTCATGCAAAATGGTCTGAAGTAGGATACAGCTGCTGCAAGAACTAAGATATAAGGCATGATGTTAGACCAGCACAAAAGGGAGATGATACGCTTACTGGATCATGTAAGGAATTTACCTCCTGAAAATATAACAGCATAATCAGAGTTATAAAAAGTTCTTCTCAAATAATGGAAACAGTGGAGGGTAACCAAGAGAACAGTGTAATAACTGAATGCAATTTAATCTCTTACAGTACATTGCCACCACTACAGAAAAGTAGAGTTTTAACTTCTTTGTTATGAATCTCCACCTCTGACGATCGAGTGTGCCTGCAATTCTGTAAGATCCAAAAGGGGAGGAGGCGATGGTACCTCTTTCTGTATTCCCTTAACCTCCAGAAAGAATCTTCAAAGTTTAGTCAAATGTGAAATTAGTAGGTATTCCTCAAGAAATCTCTCATTTCTAACATTAATTTGCTAGTTCAGGGATGATATTGTTTGAATGTATGTCCCCTCCAAATGAAATGTGACCCTAGTGTTGGAGATGGGACCTAATGGGAGGTGTTTGGGTCATGGGGTTGGATCCCTCATGAATGATTTGGTGTCCTCCCTGCAGCAATTAGTTCACACAATAGCTAGTTGTTTAAAGAGCCTGGAACCTCCTCCCCTCTCTCTCTTGCTCTTTCTCTTGCATGTGGCATGCCTGTTCCTCCTTCACCTTCTGCCATGATTGGAAGATTCCTGAGGCTCTCACCAGAAGCAAATGCATTTGACCCATTCATCATTTCTTCCACAGAACTTTATGTTATCTGGCTGTCCATGGCACCACTCCTGTTGTCTTTCTCCACTGATTCTATTTCTCATGTTCATTCTTATTACCTCATCAGCCTGGCCTTCACTGTTCATAGTTCTGTCACCTTTTTGGTCATAATCACTTAACAAGTCTCTAAGAAGTTCCAAACTTTCCCTCATCTTCTAGTCTTCTTCTGAGCCCTCCAAACTCTTCCCACCCCTGCCCATTACCAGGTTCCAAAGCCACTTCCACATTTCAGCAATTGCTTTATAGCAATGCCCAACTCCTCAGTTCTATTTTTTTTGTATTAGTTCAATTTGTATTGCTATAAAGTAATACCTGACACTGGTAGAGTCACTGGCTGCTTATGTCCCCAGCCTGTAAAAGCTACAGGCACTCAACACCATTAACATCTTAATTCCTCAAATTCTTTAATTTCCTTTAAAATGCTCTAATTTCCTCCCTCCCTCCCTCCCTCCCTCTCTCTCTCTCTCTTTCTCTTTCTCTCTTTCTCTCTTTCTTTCTTTCTTTTGAATCTTCCTCTGTCTGGAGTACACTGGCATGATCTCGGCTCACTGCAACCTCAGTCTCCCAGGTTCAAGCGATTCTCCTGCCTCAACCTCCTGAGTAGCTGGGACTACAGGCACGCGCCAGCACCCCCAGCTAATTTTTGCATTTTTAGAGACTGGGTTTCAGCACGTTGGCCAGGATGGTCTTGATCTCTTGACCTCGTGATCCACCCACCTTGGCCTCCCAAAGTGCTGGGACTACAGGCGTGAGTCACTGCGCCTGGCCAAAATGGTCTAATTTTCTTTCTTCTTTTCTAGTAAATCTTTGTCAGTCTCATTTACATATGCCTCATCCTTTGCCATCCCTTAAATGTTGGTATTACCAGGGGATTCCATCCCCAACCTGCTTTCACTTTACATATTCTTTCTGAGTAAGAATTTGTGGCCATAATTACTTGTGTGCTGGTACACAGCACAGGTCTCTCCCCTGAGCCCCAGATACATATATTCATCTGCCTCTTAGACATTTTAATCTTAATATATTCAAAACTGAACTTATCATCTCTCATGTCCCAACTTGTCCCTTATCCTATCCACTGATGTGACCACCCAGGTCAGGAACCAGACTCTTCCTCTTCCCTCTTCCTTTACCTCCATATGCAACCAGGTATCAAGTTCTGCTCATTCTGACCCCTGCCCTTCACACCACCACCTCTGCTTCAGCCAAGTTGAGTAATAATGAAGGCCAAGGTTTTCATCGTTGCTTAGCTGGATCCCTCCAATAGCCTTAAAATGTCCCCCCTTGCTTGTGGTCTCATTCTCCTGTTTACCAGAATATTCTTTTTAACTTGTGAACCACAGTATATCACTAATCTTCTCAAAACCCTTTAATTACCTCCCTTCACGAGTCTTCAGGATAAAATTTAAACCCTTCATCATGTACACTAAAACATTAGTGATCTGGACCAGTCTGGAAACTGGATCTGCTTTCTGTATCCAGTCTTTATTTCAGCCACACTAATATCCTCATTTTCCTGAACTGGCCAAGTTCTTTGGGTAGTAAAGGTGTAAAAATAAACCCTTTGGCTGGGCGCAGTGGCTCACGCCTGTAATCCCAGAACTTTGGGAGGCCAAGGCGAGAGAATCGCTTGAACCCAGGAGGCGGAGACTGCAGTGAGCCGAGATTGCGCCACTATACTCCAGCCTGGCAACCGAGCAAGATCCCGTCTCAAAAACAAACAAACAAAAACCCCTATTGTTATTTGATTTTTTTCGTGTATAAGAAAAAATTTTACTCATGTTCATTACAGCAACCTCCTCTGATCATACACAGTTTGTATTAGGCACCCTTTCTATGTGACACCACAGTTTCCCATTTTGCAACTTCTCAGTGTTTTTCTTCTCTGTTTTCTCCATGAGACTGTGAGTCGCTTAAGAGCAATATTATGACTTTAATTTCTACATCTCCAGGTGCAGCTCAAGAAATGTCCAACAGGGAGAAAGGAAGAGAAGTGGGGATCCGAAAAAAAGAGGTGAGAAATGGAGAATCTGTCTTCTGCCTCCACTAAAATGTCTCTCATCATGGCCAAGGTGGCTCATGACCACACAATTGCTAAATGAAATGGAAGCACTTTTTGTTAATCTGGATATAGTCTTGAAATTTTTGCCCTCATATTTTGAGACCACCTTCTCCTTGCTCTCTGACTGAACCTCCTTATTTTCCTCTTCAAGATCCCTTTTTTCTATTGTCTCTTAAATGTTAAATTTACCCTAGGAAATCGTCCTGAGTCCGCAGGTTCTTTTAGTCTCCCTAGGGAATGGCCTCCAAGCTGGCGCCTACTCAGGCAGTGTTGTACTGCCCCCTACTGGTGTAACTGAAAAGTAGGTCAGTCGCACGCCACGTGTAGAGTCCAATTTACAAGCACCAGGCCTGGCACAAGAAAAGTGAATGTATTTCCAAAACTAGTTTGGGAGGAGGGCAGGAAGTGTCCTCCTTTAAATGTGCCACGTTGCCTTTGGAGCAAAAAGTGAACACTTTTATAAGGTAAAAGAGAAGTGAGCAAGGCAGGGAGGTCTCCCTGCTACTGGGCAGTTAAACACTGAGCAGTTGAGTAGGTGCCCTACCTAGTCTCCATTGTCTGCGTGCTTTATTCCTCTTGATTGCGGGACAAGAATCCGGGACCTGCTGAACTTCAGGTGTCAGGAACAAGCTGTAACATACCCCTATTTGCTGAGCTGTGGGCAGTGGGACCAAATGAGAGCTATGACACACCCCTATTCACTGAACTGCAGGCAGCAGGATTGAATAAGAGCTGTGACATGTCCCCATTTGCTGAGCTGCAGGCAGTGGGACTGAACGAGAGCTGTGACATGCCCTCATTTGCTGAGTTGCAGGTGGCAGGAACGAGAGAGAGCTATAACGTTTCTTGGGGTCTCAGACCTTGGGACTCCCCAGGCAAAGCTGTAACACCTCTTGGGGCTCTGCAGTTGTTGGCGTCTCCGAGTTTGTTAGTGCCACTGTGTTCCCCTCATTTAGACACTGATGCCCAAGGTGGAAGCAGGTCACAGCAGCACACCCGGTCCTGCCACTGGCTGAGTGTGGATCCCATGGCTCAGGAGTTCAAGAGAAGCCTGGGTAATATGGTGAGACCTCATCTCTACAAAAAAAAAAAAAAAAATAGCCAAGCGTAGTGGTCACTGTACTCCAGACTGGGTGACAGAGTGGGAGCCTCTGCCCCCCTCCCCCCAAAAAAGAGAATGTAACATTAATTTATAATGTCTCTTTTAAAAATTTAACACAATGTTATCTTTTTCTTGCTGAAGGAGCAGGGTTGTGTCCTAAGGTTAAATCAATTCACTGGGAAAAATATAATATCCAGTTCCAAAGTGTAACCAATTTGACCAAGAGGAATTTGATTCAGGTGCTGTTTCAAATTTTGCTTTGCAGGGTTCTTTCTTTTCACTTTTATGTTTTTTTCCTTTTATTTTTAGTTGACATATAATAATTGTACATATTTATGGGATACAGAGTAATATTTTGATACTTGTATACAACATGTGATGATCAAATCAAAGTAATTGGGATATCCATCACCTCAAACATTGATCATTTCTTTGTGTTGGGAACATTCGAAATCCTCTCTCCTAGCTTTTTGAAGATATACATAAAATAATTCTTAACTATATTCACCCTATAGTGCTACAGAACGCTGGAACTTATTCCTCTTCTCTAGCTGTAACTTTGTATCCATTAACCAACTTCTCCCCATCCTTCACATCCCTCTACCCTTCCTGTTTCGGGAACTCAGGGACTCCGAACGGAGGGACCCGTCTGAAGCCGTGGCAGAAGAACATAAATTGTGACTTCCTGGACATTTATTAGTTCCCCAAAATGAATTCTTTTATAATTTCTTACACCTGGCTTTAGTGCGATCTCTGAATATAAATTGTGAAGATTTCATGGATACTTATCACTTCCGCAATCAATACCCTTGGGATTTCTTATGCCTGTCTTTACTTTAATCTCTTAATCCCGTCATCTTCTTTGTAAGCTGAGGAGGATATATGTCACCTCAGGACCCTGTGATAATTGCATTAGCCACACAAATTGTTTGTAGAGCACGTGTGTTTGAACAATATGAAATCTGGGCATCTTGAAAAAAGAACAGGATAACAGCAATGTTCAGGGAACAAGAGAGAGAAGACTTCTGGCCGCTGGTGAGCCAGACAGAACAGAGCCATATTTCTCTTCTTTCAAAGGCAAATAGGAGAAATATTGCTGAATTCTTTTTCTGAGCAAGGAATATCCCTGAGAAAGAGAATGTGCCCTGAGGGTAGGTCTATAGACGGCCCACTTAAGGCAGCCGGCCACCTTTTAGGGTAGAAGCCAAAGGGATGAAATAAGCCCTGGTCTCCCATAGTGCCCCCAGGCTTATTAGGACGAGGAAATTCCCACTTAATACATTTTGGTCAGACAGGTTGTCTGCTCTCAAACCTTGTTTCCTGATAAGATGTTATCAATGACAATGAGTGCCGGAAACTTCATTAGCAATTTTAATTTCGCCCCATCCAATGGTCCTGTGATCTCGCCCTGCCTCCATTTGCTTTGTGATATTTTATACCTTGTGAAGTACGTGATCTCTGTGACCCACACCCTATTTGAGCACTCCCTCCCCTTTTGAAAATCGCTAATAAAAATTTACTGGTTTTACGGCTCGGGGAACATCATGGAAACTGCCGACATGTGATGTCTCCCCCGGACACCCAGTTTAAAATTTCTCTCTCATGTACTCTTTCCCTTTATTTCTCAAACCAGCCGAGATGCTTAGGGAAATAGAAAAGAACCCATGTTAAATATCAGGGGTGGGGTTTTCCCCCAGTACTTTCCCAGCCTCTGATAACCACAATTTTACTCTCTACTTCTTTGAGCTCATTTTTAAGCTTCCATATATGATTGGGAACAGGTGGTATTTATCTTTATGTGCCTGACTTATTTCACTTAACATAATGTCCTTCCAGTGTTAGGATTGAGGAGAGCAGACATTTTATTGTTCATCTCCATGTTGAGAATCAGAAATATCCCCAATTAAAAAAAATGATTACAAATATGTTATATCAGGAACTGTGGCTTGCCTATGGGTCCTGGGTGGGCAAATAACTAATTTAAATTCAATAGGAATGGGCTTGAAATGTCCTAGACCAAGATATGATTTGGCTGTGTCCCCATCCAAATCTCATCTTGAATTGTAGTTCCCATAATCCCCACATGTCTAGGGAGTGACCCAGTGGGAAGTAAGCTAATCACAGGAGCAGTTACCATCGTGAGGTTCTCGTGATAGTGAGTTCTCACTAGATCTGATGGCCCTACAAGGAAGGGGCTTTCCCCATTGTTGCTCAGTTCTTCTCTTTCCTGCTACCATGTGAAGAAGGATGTATTGGCTTCCTCTTGCACCATGATTGTAGGTTTCCTGAGGCTTCCCAAGCTATGCTGAACTATAAGTCAATTTAACCTCTTTCCTGGCCAGGCACAGGCTCATGCCTGTAATCACAGCACTTTGGGAGGCTGAAGCAGGTGGATCACTTGAGTTCAAGACCAGCTGGGCCAACATGGTGAAACCCTACTAAAAATAAGTGGTGCCTTCGCCTGTAATCCAGCTTCGTAGGAGGCTGAGGCAGGAGAGTTGTTGAACCCAACAGGTGAAGGTTGCAGTGAGCCGAGATTGCACTGCTGCACTCCCAGTCTGGGCTACAGCGAGGTAGAGGCTGTGTCTTCAAAAACAAACAAGACAAAACAAACAAAACAAACCCCCTCTCTTTCCTTTATAAATTACCCAGTCTGGAGTATGTCTTTATTAGCAGTGTGAAAACAGACTAATACAGACCACAGGGGTGGGAAATCCATTCTTTTGGGCCAAGTAATCTTACTTTTCTTCTAATGCTCAGTGGATAGGCTGATGTCAAGCTTCAAATAGTGAATTATCATAAAGGAAGAAGAGTAGAGGGTGGTGCTGGGGGTAAGAGATGCAGCACTAAGGCTATGTGGGTCTGATTTCCCAGACTACCTGCTCTGAGTGACACCTAACCAGGCTTGACTGGGCACCTCCTATGTCTGAGCCCCTGAATTAATCAGAGTGATTCTTTCCTGGGAACAAAAAGCAGATATTCTCTATCAGGGTCTCTTAATCTTTTCTGAGTACTGCCCCCACTGAGAGTCCAGTAGAAGCTATGAATCTTCTCCCTACAAAAAAGCACTCATGTACATTAAAACAAAATTGTTCTCAGTTTCCGTGATGCTCTTAGATAAAAAAATTTACAAGGCCTCCTGTTTCTGGTTTCTGGGGCCCCACACAAGTGTGCTGGGTGGAGAGAAAAGCTCAGTGTTTTTTTTTCTCTAACCCTGTTTGGTAAGTTCCCTTTTTAGCCCTGGCCTCTTTCTAGCCAGGCTCTCAACTGTCTCCTGCGTTGCTGGGAAGTTCTGGAAGGAAGCATGGGCTCCAGAGGTTGGAATCGGTGTCTGGCTCTGGAATTGCTACTGCTGTCTCTGTCACTCCTGGCGATCAGCATTCAAGGTACTTTCTACCAACCGTCTGCCTGTGATTGTGCACTGAAGGTATGGTCAGTTGGGAAAGGGGAGATGGGATGTAGTTCAACCCTAGAAGCCGAATCTGGTATCTGGAAAGCAGATATTTCCATTCCAATACCATGGCCATGGCATGGTTGGGGAACCTTTCTTAGCACTGAAGAATTGAGCTTCATCTCCTTTCCCAAGGGGATGTGACCAAAACAGGACCCTGGGGAGAAGGAGAAGTAGGCTCCTCATATTTTGTCCCTTGGCTGGTGGTCCATGAAGTTGTGGAAAAGTGTTTTTTCATTTTGAATAAAAAGAAGCTCTACACTGACAGCTGCCATATTTTATGCTCTGACACATTGTACTTCATTAGGCATTCTTTGAGACCTCTGTATATGTGAGGTGTTGTGTCCTGAGCCAAGGTAAATGACATTGTCATTGACCCAAAGAAAAGATAGATCAAAATTGTAGGAAGAAAAGCTTGGAAAGGATTGCTGTCTGGGGTCTCCGAATGAGGGTCTGAGAAGAGGCTGGAAGTGCGTCAGCAACAAGGGAACCTTAACGCATCTGATTACTAAGAGTTAAGGTCCATTCCTCTGCCACAGCCTGTTCGGTCCCTGTCATGTGCCCAAGGGCTGAGCTAACTTTCCTTCTTCTGTTAGAGCTGCCTCACCCTCTTTCTTCATCCATCCTTCTTATGCCAGCTGAGAAGCAGCAGTGAAGCCTTTGACTTTCTTGCTATTCCCCCAAGTAAATACTCAAGTCTTTTTAATTTAAAGGGCTTTAATGCTCACCACTCCGACGAAAACAGCGAAAAAGGAACAAACATGCGGTAGTTACACCGTGGCATAAAATGATGATAGTTTGTAACTTTTAGGGAGGTGAGGGAGAATGTGTGGAGGATAGGTCTCTCACATGCTCTGCCTCTCAGGTAGAGTCCTTTGGTTCATGACTGTGTGAGTCTACAGCTGTATGGGTTCTGTGGACCTGACTCAATGCATAGGACATTGGTATGGCCTTGGGAGTGGGGACGGACGTGAAGTATTCATCTAACTATTGGGAAAAACAGGGTTGCCAATGAGAACTGGAATA